CATCAGTAACTTCATTCTGATGGGGTAAGAAACTCAAACTAGTTACTCTAGACTGTCATCCTTATGAACTAGTGCTTGAGACTGCTGGCCTTTTTCTAGAACCTGGCAAGATGGATACGTTTTTATAACTGCTCTTGAAATAATCCATCAATACTGAATAGGAGGGCTCAGCTTCCTCATTATAGGTTGCCCTTAATGACAAGTAAGTAGTGACAAGTGAGTATGTTCTGTGATGAAATAAACACTAATAGATAAATTTGGAGAAGATGCACAGAAGTGCTTGGAAGTGATGCTGAGCCCCTGGAGCTGAATATGTTTTGCATGTGTTCAGCCAGATGAGTAGAGATGTTCTGACAGATATGGAGGCCACAAGGCTTACAGAAGCTGCCCTTGGGACTGTGGCAGACTTTTCTCTCCTAAGAACAAGTGTGTCTTGATTGACTAACTGGATGTAGTTTTTTTCAAACAAACTGCATGATATTCATGTCCATAAATGATGAACTTTCAGCTATCTGATTCTTTTGGATTCTTACCTGCATGATAAAAATGGTATTTTAAGGGTTCAAGTTCAGTACCTTGTGATTTTCTTCCAAGTTTGTGAGTGTCTCCTAATTCAGTTTCAGCTCCGTTACAGTTAAAAGGATGGTTTTTCAGCTTAAATTAAATTTACAGTAGAGATGCTGGTGTCCCCTAGAACAGGCAAGCTCTGTCTCCTGTGTCTGCAGAAGGGCCAGGTGCCCCTGGCTGCGTGCAGTGCTGCCCATCCAGGCCAGGACATTGGTTAGGGTCCAGTCTCTCTCTGGAGCAGTGCCTGAGCCTTCGGAAAACCTTCACACCCCCTGCTGGAGCCAGGCTTCAGCTCTGCTGCAACGAGCTGCTGCTCAGTGATGCTGAAAATGGAGGGGATAAGTGGCCTTTAAAAGGGTGTCCCATGGCAAAGGTGTTAAGACCTTTTTTAAAAAAAAATCCTCTTGCCTTTCTTAGCTCTAGATTTCCTAATGCTAGAATAAGCACTTACTTGGAGAGTCCCATCAATTGCAGGTGACAGATGATGTAACGTGCCTCCAAGGGATCAGAGGTAGCTCAGGGTTCCTATGGACTAACTTCATCTTGGGAAGCATGATAAATCTTGCTACTAGACAGCATTCTAGTTGCCAACAGTGAAGTGAAAGTGGGATCTGTGCCCAAGTGCAGAACAATAGGTTATTGGTGCAAACCTTGATCTGCAGGATAGCTGCAAGTAGGCTCAGCTGGGTCACACTAATGCTTGGTTTTTTTTCTTTCCAGGGTTGCAGGCCACCCACTGGCACAGAACGAGCGTTGTCTTCACATGTTCTTACAAGATGAAGTAATAGATAAAAACTACACACCATCCAAAATAAGGCATACTTGAATTTTAAAAGCGTCTTCTCAAATATTAGTGGTTCTTATGCTTGGTTTTAAGAGGTTGTAGTTTGTCTTAGCATGCTGAGGATGAACAGTCACAAAGTCTCCACTAACACCAATACACTGCTTGGTCTTTGCATATGCTTTATAGCATTTAAGAACTCACTTGTCTTCTAGCTAAATCCCTCTGAATCCTTGATTTAAGAGTATTATACTATGAAACCATCCACTCCTTGCAATGTCTCACAGACCTTTCCACTATTATTTGCAATGACTTAACAAAGTTTACTGACTTGGCCTTACTTGAACTTTCACAACTGTAGTGTCACGTGTTCACTTGTATTTGACTAAACTGCTATGCTGTTTCTGAGGTAGTCACCTGTCTGAATGTCTGTAGAAAGACTGCTTTATTTCTGATATCCTGTATGAGAAACACTTATGCAATTGTCTTCAAGCTTGTAAAACACTTTATACTGAAGTAATGAGGGAATTATCTTTATATTCTGTAAGAGGAAAAAAAAAAGAATTTATATACTAAAGTAACTTGTCTAAAGTTTTGAAATAAAAGTGAAAATGCACTTCAAATGTTTTGTCACTCTTGACCTTGAATGTGCAGTGTCTCTTGCTTTCTGAGGAGGAGGGCTTGACTATGCCAAGTGAACTGGTGTTACAGCTTCACTGTGATGCTCTTCCACAGTGTAGTTGTGTATCACTAACAGCCAGCAGTAAATACTCTCAGATGCTGGCACCTGCTCTGGAAGTGTTAAAGAACACATAAACGTATAAAAGGCTGTTCCTGTGTTGTGGAACCAAAGCTGGAATACCACTCATGAGAGGCAATCAACAGATCTGTGACTGTAATAACTTTGGGAAAAGGGTACCTTTCCGCCTGGCATGAGAAGCATCAATCCAGCTTCAACTAGGTAGTGAAAACTATGCCATCCTATAGAAAAATGAATGTTTACATAATTTATATTATCATCATGCCTAGTTTAAAATAGCTCTGCTCTACAAATGGAATTAGGAACATAAAGTCATACAAGTCTGGTGTAAGATGTGATCATAGACCACATAGACCAGCATTGTGCTGGTTTGACCACTGGTGCAATGCAGGTGCTGGGTGGCTGAACTGCAGTTCACAGGCAGCATTGCTGAAGTTGTCTTTTATATGGGAAGGAATTGAGCTAGAGAAGCTTCCTTAGTCTTCAAAATATGACGTGGAAGTTGCCTGTCCAGGTGCTCTTGACAGCAGATTCCAGGATATTCTAGTAGCAATCGGCTCTACAGTTTCATGCTATTTGGTAGCTATGTATTGGCTTAGACTCAGGTCTGCTTTTTTCCTTCTTATGACAATCTCTGTAAAGAGCATTCTAAAACTTTCTGGCAAAATTAGTAGCTTCTTTTAACTAAGAGCATTAAACTCATTTAGGAAATCTGAATGTAAAAGACTCAAGTGACAAGGCAGTGGTGGCTGGCTGAATTACACATAGTACTATTGATTAGCTGCACTGGATAGATAGATGTTTGAATAATTGCTCTGCATAATTTAAATTTAGGTGGAAACCTCCTACTTGACTGAGACTATGCTGATTCTAACTGTTCTATTCATGAAACCAAGGACCAAAACCGACAGTCCATTTGCAGCCCAGGGCTGTCGCTTTTCAAGATGTTTTTGATAATGTATATGTATTATATATGTATATATATGTGTATATATATACATATAATGCATATAATGTACATATATGTATATATATATATTTGATAATGTATATGTATATATATAATAAATAATTTCTAAATTTCCCTCTCCTTGTTGAATCACCCCTAAAAGTTGAGTTATTCTTGAAAAGAGGGAAGGAAGGATTAAATATATTGAAGTTTCATTATGTAGGTTTAGATACAGAGTAAGTTATTTTTCTTCTCTCAAATGTTATTTTCTTAGAGAAGCTTCTTCCAGAAATCAAAGTAAATGCCACATCTTAAACCTGAAAGATGATGACACAATCTCTATCATTTGCCATGAAAGAAAAACTAAAATATTTAAGCTGAAGAGGGAAAAGTTGCATGCTTGATGTCAGAGTATTCCTATTTCCAAAGTGAGGACTTTGGAGCATTAGTCTCTTAGAATGACAGGGCATTTGCATAGCGCTCTGGGATCTCACCTAGCCTTAAGTCCTTCAAGGCTAGCTGGAGACCCTAATCCTAGTGGAGTGGAACTGATTGTGCTTCAGTGCAATGTGCAGCAGTGGGAGCAAGACACAGTCTGAGATTAGCTGTGCTAAACCATAGGGATCTGGGCCTTGTCCCAGCTTGTGAATCTGCTCTGCAGCTGGGCCAGGTCTTGCAGGTGAGAGGATGAGATGTGGGTGCGGTGCCATTGCCCTGCCTGCTTTGCCAGTACGCTCTGTTTTGTCCTCTGGCCTGGGCGATGGAGGGACTGCAGCAAACTGCAGGGTGTGATTGCCTGGTTGCCTAGCAGGGTGGATGTAGTTCATGCTCATTGCTGCTCTGGGACAGCAGCTTGAATCTTACTGAAATGAATATTCTGTGATGGATTCTGTGCAGCGCTGGGTTTTACTTCTCTAGCTCATAGACTGAATTGTCACAGAGTTGGAGAACTGCAATTGATTTTTCTACCCTATTAGATTCTTTTCAGTGTAGAGAGCAGAAGATAGTTGGAGATTATTACAGTTGCAGGAAGAATGGATTATAAACAGTTTGTTGGTTTCTTTTTAAGAATGTGCTCTGCTTTGTGGTAAGTGCATTTTTAAGTGCTCCAAGCTAGTTTGTATAGAAGATACTTTGAGGTCCCATAGCCTGTGACTCATCTTGTGTATTTATGGTCTGTCTGTCTTGGAAAAGATAGAATGTGAGACCCAGCAGACTGCAAATGGAAGAGAGCTGGGGTTAAAACTTTGACCTCTGAAACATGTGAGATTTTTGAGCTTGGAAGTCAGCAGAGCTAGGATTTCACTTGTGACCTGTATTCCTTGACACTGCAAACCAGTGAGCTATCAATACACACAGTTTATTTCTACCTGTCATTTTAGCATGCGTGGTTCTTCAGTTACTCATTGCCATATGTACAATGCATTTCCCTCCTACTATTGCCAAGTTGTTGTGTTGATTAGGAGTTGTTTCCCTCTTTTTTTGGCGTGATTATGCAGTTAAACACCTTAATAAAATCTCAGTCTTTTTAATTGAAGCGGTGCTTTTGTACTCATCACCTTTTGTTAGCTGCACGGTTCACTGGTACTAAAAATTGTAATAACATGCAACGGAAGGCACATACTGTGGTAGATCTCTGATGCACGTAGTGTTGTATCCTAGAAAAAGCTACCTGTCACCTTGAGAAAGAAGGTGGTATTTATTTGGCAGCTGGTATTTATTTGGATTACAGAAAATAGCTCCATGTAGGATCTCACAAGGCAGGATCACCTAAGCTACTCCTTTAATGTTTGTCTAATCTGTTATTAAAAACCTCTGATGATGGAAACTCCACAGGATCTAGGGCAATCCATTTTAGTAAGGAATACTTCTATTCCCTGGTAAGTAGGGGAAAGTGAAAGAAGCTGATTAAGGACAACGGTTGAAAGAACAGTGGAAATTAATTTAAATTCAATATATTTTTATTCTTTGTAAATACAATGAGTACAACTTTTTAACTTCACAAATCGGTTAATCCACTTTGTACAGGAAAAGTTTTACTCATTCTATGATAGTTCAAGTGCTGATCTTTCTCAGTGCTAGTTCCTAATAACAAATCAAATTTTGAAAAGTACAGCAGCTATCTTTAAATGATTTTTCTTTCTACATTATTCGTACATCAAATAAGCAGCTTATAATGTTTTTGTGTGTGAGAGGGTGTAGGCGAACAAGGCTTCAAAATTAGAACCTGGAGTTTTCTAAAAAGGCATTGGAGACTTTTGGAAATTGTTAGCATTGTATCAGTCAACAACCTTTATTTCTTTGAAATAAAATTCCTTCCATTGATTTTTTAATAGTCATTTCATTTCTCTGCACATCTCATTGACAAAGAGTTTGGCCACCGTTGCCTTTGGTTTCAGCACTGTGCCAACGGGACAGCCAGCAGATCACTGAAGCGGTCATCTCCATTGTATTTGGTTTTGCTGTTTTAGTCTTCCTTTCTTGTGTTGTCTCTTTTCAGGTGTGTGTGTGTGGGTGTGTGTGTGTGTCTGTGTGTGGAAGAAGAAGGAGGGAAGGTCGGGAAGGAAATGTATAAAGCTCTTCTGTCTTTGAGATGTTAACCGAACAAATTGTGGTGACATCTGCGTCAAAGATCACCAGTTCACTTTGTAGGAAGAATGGAGCTGCCGTCATAAGCTACCTTTTAATCAGTTCTGAAGGCCACTTCATGATGCATTATAGCAGAAACAATGTTTTGGTAACTTGGTCTCAAATGTTGCCTATCGTATTAAAAACATTTTCCCAACATCGGCTACTTTTAAAACAATTCTGAAGGCCACCACATCTTGTGTTACAACAGAAGCCAAGTTTGGTCACCCGGTTCCAAATACTGAACAAGCTAAAGTACCTTCTTTCACATTTTGTCTCAGATCTGCCAGTTGAATGAGAGAATAGCAGAGTCTTTGTTAACTATGACTGGCATCTGAATTGCCTCCATCCTGTAGTAACAGGAATAGCAGCCAAATTCCAACCACTTTCACTTTTTCTGTAGAACAAAGCATTCTCTCCATGATCTAAATCACTCTGTTCAGAGCAGCAGAATCATATCTACTGGGGTATTTTTTGTCAATGAGTTTAAGGACTAAACATTCCCAGGCTTATGCTTCCTGTAGATTTTGTTAGTTGAGGCTTATTCTCCATAGATAAAAGTTCTTCTCAAACTGTCCATCCTGATTGTTTCTTTTAAGGTAATTTATATGTCACTGGATTTGTACATATCTGAAAGCAGTCTTGTAATTGGTACATTCCCAATGGTCTTTTTGAAAAACACTTCTTCTATTGTAGATGGACTAATTGAACGTAAAGCTGGTAAAAGCAATAGAAGTTTTCCAAAACGACAGGGTTGTGTGGGATACCTAGAGACAGAGAGAAAAAGAATTTCATTGAAAATTTAAAGTATTTTTTCAAAGGAAGGACTTTATAGAAAAAGACCAATATTTACTAAATTGCACAGGGGTTGCTACCTATGTGTCCCAGTTTGAGACAAATTTGGGAGGAAACGCTTATGGCTCAACCTAAGTGCACTCTGCATGGTCTAGATTGACTCAGAATCTAGTGGGATACTATTGTCACCCCAGGACAACTGTGCCAAAACCCTGTGTTTTGTACTTGTGTGAGCAACAAGGTTGACTCCAAGGAAAACTCTGTGGCAGTCAGCAGAACACAGGACAAGCTCTCTGAGTTTTGTTTAGCTCCTTTGTTCATTCCCCTAGAGCAGCAGGAATACAAAAACTGGACCTGCTCTGATGTGTCCCTCATACAGCCATGTTCTCAATGCAATACAGGGAAGAGCTTGAGTTGTAGTAACTGCCCTGTCATTTGAAGTACAGTTTAGAACTAGCTGGATTGTCATGGTAATCACCCCCTTTTGGTTAGCAGATATATTGAATACCAATTGACATTTGTAAGGAGAGTTTTAGTTAAAGAAGCTGTGCTTTTCCCCAGGTAATGTGTTTGTGTATAGGATGTTTTCTGTCCTTTCTCTCAGCTTTTGAAGCCAGCACAGCACAGGATGTGCATTTTTAGCTGTGCTTATGTTGTCTTTACAACAGTGATTCTCAAACTTCTTCTTACAGAGGTCTCCCTAAAGGGAAGTGTAGGTTGTTTGGAGAAACATGATGCTTCCCCAGACTGCCCTCCCTTGCATCCTCTTGAGAGCAACTCCACTGGGATCACAGGGCTGATACTGCAGTGATATTGGCAGGAGGGTAAATTCAAGCCTGAGGATGAAACACACAGGCTGAAAGCCCTCTCACAAGGGAGTCTGAGTGAGAGTCCTGTCAGTGGACTGCACTTTTCTCTTGTAAAAGGATATTGTTTGCAACACACACTGGGTAGCACAGTATCTAAATACTTCCGGCAACACAGAAATGCCGTGGAAAAGCTGATTCCTTGGAAGGGAAGATGTGGCTATATATTTCTCCCTGGCTTCTCTCTCCAACAGGCCCTGTCTCACTTAAGGTCTCCAGGGGGCAATCTTCATGGAAAAGGCCTTCCTTAAGAATAGGAAGAGACCACTATGCAGCAGTTACTCTTTTTGCTCTGAAGCAGCCATAACTGGATGGAATTTGCATTTTTACTTCCATCCCCAATGCAGGCCATTCCCTGTAGATTAATAAAAGTGCTTCAGAGACTGCTACCATCTAATCTCTGGAACTGATAGGGCTTCTGCCTGACAGAGCTACGATGACAGCAAATCAAAGTTTCAGAGGGAAAAAAATGTATAATAGTTCCTCTTCCACTGCTCCATCTCCAACTGTTTTAGTCTCATGGACTTCCACTGCAGCTAAAAGACTTTGCTGCAGCACCATAATGGGATTCACAAAGTCTGAGGTTTTCATTTGAACCTGATCACAAACTCCAGGTGACATCTTGGAAGAGCCACTTAAGCTCCTTGTGTCCTGATTTCTGTGTCTGCAAAATGGAGGAGGTTATATGGGAACTGGAGATTGTGTATGAAAGACACTCATACTGACTGAGATGCTGTTTTGACCATCACTTTTAGTGATTTGATTGAATAAAACATAGAGGAAATTTAGCCCTCTGAACTGCAAAGTGTTGCACAGCCATTATCACTTCCCAGAGGAAGAGCTCTCCTTTTAACACCTTTCTGTTTGTTTAAAAACACCCATGTGCTGGAGCACACTTGAAGAGGAGCAACAAAGGTGGTTAAGGGTCTAAAGCACAAGTCCTGGCTAAGGGTCTAGAGCAACAGCTAAGGGAGTTGCAGTTGTTTAGCCTGAAGAAAAGGAGGCTGAGGGGAGGCTTGATGACTCTCTACCTGAAAGGAAATTGTAGTGGCGTGGGTTTTGGTCCCTGCTCCCAGTCACAAACAATAGGACAAGAGGAAATGGCCTCAAGTTGCACCAGTGGAGGTTTAGTTTGGATATTAGGAAAAATTTCTTTCCCAAAAAGGTCGTCAAGCATTGGAACAGGCTGCACAAGGAAGTGGTAGAGTCATCATCCCTGAAGGTAGTTAAAACGTGTACATGTGGCCCTTGGGAACACGATTTATTGTGGACTTGGCAGTGTTAATGGTTGAACTGAATAATTTTAAGGATCCTTTCCAACATTTTCTATGGTTCTATTTCAGAAATCCCAGCCGGCTGGCAGCCAATGTATACTCTCCGTAGCAGCCTGGTCCCCATTTCATTCAGTGCAAATGCCACCTTGTATGCAGTGAGAGCAGGATTTCAGCCCTACAGCTGCCAGAAGCACTGGCAGAAGCCACCACTGACCTGGTGTGAATGTAGCTGTTCAGGGTGAGCTGGGCTTCGTCTTGAAGGGCTGCTATGGCAGCAGCATTGCGGAAACTCCTCAGTTCAGAACCACTGTGTGTGGGCACTGGAAAGCAGATCAGTTACTAGTTCAGCTTGACTCTTGTGTGGATCAAAACAGTTCAGCTAGTGCTATCAATGGAAATTAAACGTTCCCATTAGTTCCCCAGCACTCCACTGTCAGCCCTTTCAAAATGCAGCAATGACTATTGGAATTCAATATGGGGAAACCTACTGGGTGATTCAAAGCTGTGCCTGGTTTAAAACATCACTTTAAAGCAGCAACCTCACAGTTATCAGACCAGACAAGTGAGAGATCCTTTTTGCTTACCAGCTTTAAAAGTGACAATGCATTTGAGACAGGCAAATTCAGTAGCATCTAGCCGAAGTTGTCTAAATCTAGCCACAACCTCCTGTAAGGCCTGTATTTCTGAAATAATTTTATTCAGCTTCTGAGAATCTGTATTGTCACCGTTCATGCCTGAAACAGAAACAGATGAAATAAATAATATTAAAGGCATTTGCTTTATTTCATATTGATTTCTGACAAAATCCTCTGTATCAATGTCCTCTCTATTGTCACACTTGTCTATCTGGTTCCATGTAAACTGACTATATTGTATGAAAGTTAATATAAAATCTTCTCTTGGATGATAACAAACACAGTAATTTGCATTTAAATGACAATGCAAGCAGTCATGAATACAACAAAACAACATTATTTGCATTTAAATATAGATTTATAAATGACAGGTATGCTCTATTGTTCAGTAGGAATTTGTTATTCTTTACATGTTGTTCTTTTTTCAGTAATGTATTTTTATGGTAATTTTTGTAACAAAGTCATTAAATTGTGCAATTCTTACCAGATACAGCCAGTAGAGTGTTAGCATCAACTGGAATGGCCCATTGTGCTATTCCTAGAACAAACAGTTCTCTCCAAGCATCTTCCAAAAGCATCAGCTGTCATACAATAGATGTACAATATAACATAGTGTATAATTTATAGATTTATAAACAATTTAAATATGTAAATTTCTGTTATTTTAAAAACTACTTTAAATGCCTGTCATGGTATTTCCCCCACAGCATTCATTAGCTCTTCTCTTAGCCTTTTGAGAAGGTGTCTAGAAAAAAAGTCTATGCATTGTAGAAAAACACTGAGGGTTGGCTCACTGTGCACCATGTTGTGGACCAAAAGGGAAGAGAAAGAAAGAGAGAATTCTTTTCCCAGAGCATTTGCTCACAACATGAACACACCTGCTTTCTCAGCATTGTATGGGTTCTCTTCTCCTCCCCCTCAGCACTTATACAGCTGTTCTAGGACAGGTCTTTCCTCTTGCTCTCTGGGATTACACTCCTTTCCCTCCAGAAGGCAGGACTTTGTGAAGAAAAGCTGGGTAACATCCTGGATCAGTGTAAGGAGCAGTGCTTTAGAGCACACATCCATCTTATAACCCCTTCCTTACTAAGCCACTCTCTATATCTGTCAAGCACAGCATCAGAACACATGAACATCAGTGTCACTTGTTTTTCTGGTTTTTTTCTTAAAAATCACTCAGAAATTCCAGGCACTAAAACCAGTTTCCTTTCAGAGATGCGAATATCCAGGCACCTATGCTGACAGCATTGCTGTTCTCTGACTAGCATTGCTAGTTCTCTGCAGTTTTTGCACACTGCATGCCTGTATGGAGGATGTGTTTTTCTCTGTTTTCCCTCAGGCAATGCTTGTGATTTCCCTGAAGAGGCAGTGGTGCATCTGAAGAGGAGACAAGACTGCTGGAAATGCAGACTGGCAAAGCCAGAACAGACATATTTAGTCTTGAGGGTATCTATGGGTTGCTAGATTGTTAGCCCAGACCAGTTCTTAAGAGAGGACTGGAGGACCTCCGGTTCAGCTGAAGCGCATGGCCAAAGGGCACGTGGTGGTGTGTGCATGTTGCTGAGACCTTGTGTCACAAAATAGGGTGGGAGAGATTTGAAGAGGTGAGAACTGTAGTGGGCTCAGAAGATACCTTCTAGCAGCTCCATGCAGTGAAAGCAGATTGCCCAAAAAAATGAAGCCACCAAACCAAAACCCCAAAACCTGCAGTCATTGATGTTTCTATGGTCCCTGAAACTACCAGCAGCTTAGCTTCTTAGGAAAAGAGGAAGGAGGATATTTGAAGTATGTAAAGAGTCTATAAAGAAGAGCAAAGTAAAAAAAAGATGCTGTACCAAATGAATGATGATATCCTTGGAATCAGGTATGTGAAAGTAGTGGGTGATACAGAAAGCACCAATAAAAGCAAACCCTTCATCTATGTGCAAACTCTTAACAATAATGTAGTTCAGGACAGTGTTACTTGTTGCCAGCCACTAGGACACCAGGCAATGGACAGAAACTGCACAGGAAATTCTACGTGAATATGAGGAAAAACTTCTTTACTGTGCACCAAGCACTGGAACATGTTACCCAAAGTGGTTGTAGAGTCTCTCTCACCGGAGATATTTAAGAATGGCCTGGACACAGTTCTGTGCCATGTGCTCTGTGATGACCCTGCTTGAGGCAGGGAGGTTGGATCAGGTGTGATCCCTTCCAACCTGATGCCTCCTGTGATTCCATGATTACAAGTTTTAAACCATCCTGTTCCAGTCTGAATTCTCAGAGTCTCTGCTCTCAACTTGTCACTGTGGGGTTATGTCCATTTCATGCCTTTTTGCCCTGTGTGCTCTGCAGAACTTCTCCATAACATAAGGGAAGTGTGACAGGAAGGTACTTGTGTCCCTGCATACAGCTGCTGTTTGAAACACTTACATTGGATTTTGCAGTACCAAAAACTGCCCAGATTATTGCCTGAAGTGGAGACAGGGAGGGGGTGCTGTGTCCGGAGTGTGGTCCCCATCTCATCGTTCTTCTGAGAGCAGATGAACCTTCCCTAAAGTTTCCTAACCACTGCAGCCTGCAAACCCAGTCTCTCCTCTGGATAATCCCACCTGATGGATGTGCAGGTGTCTGTATGACACAGAAAATTATTTGCCAGCCTTTCATTTGCTTTTGTCATTTGCTTTCATTTGCTCTTTTTTTGTCATTCATTCATGCAGATACAATGGCAATGAATGGTGGTTCCTGGAAGATATCAATTTCATATTTTTTTTTTCCCACTAAGCCTTTAAAGTCAGAAGACTTTAGAAATAAGAGACTATTCCAATAGCAAAAGCTTTCTTCATGCCTATGCATAAGTCTGTAAAACCACCAATTAAAATAATTCATGCTGAAGTCATACTCAGCCCTCCTTCTTCAAAGAAATAACAAATACCAGGCTTTCTGAACAACTGGTTTTGCTTCTTAATCAACCCCATCCTTGCTGTGACCTTTTGCTGGGGACCTGCATTGGGCCAACCTGTCTCACAGATAACGTGGGCAGGTGTGCAAGCCAGCAGCACTAGAAGCATGGCATTCTTTGTTTTGTGGTTTCCAGTTCAAAATGGACTTAATCTGTATGAATCAGGGAAGGGACATAGCCTCTGTCTTACCAGAGGTAAAAACGCAGCAATGCTCAGACTTGTGTTTTATCAGCAAATCGGTTTCTATTTATTTCCCTGCCTTCAAGATAAAACTGCCCCAGAGTTCTGAAATTACAGTGCACTTGGCTTTTTTAGAAGAGCACAAAAAAAAAAAAAAAAAGCAAAAATCAGGAAAATATTTTAGTTTCTCCTCAGCAGATGTCAGGGATACCAAAAGAGAAATGCAGACATTTACAGCTGGGCCATTGTCAAATTAAAAAAAGTGATAGCAATGTTATAAAAATCAACTGTATGATTATTCATGAAATAAGGTGATAAAATCAGAATTATTTCTTCTCCAGCTCTCCTACTTGTGACAGGGGAATTGTACAGGAAGAGGCCCAAATCAAAGCTTTTGAGCTGAGCAGCTCTGAGTTTTGAGGAAGCTGATTTGCAATGAGCTACAGCAAGTGAGAGTGATGTTAAGCAAAGGCTGGGTTTTTAATATGTTACTCACTAAGATTAGTCCCTGCTATGAAAGTGAAAGAGGCAGTGGGTTATTTAATGGGAGCACTGTGGTGCCTATGGTAGATAAGCAGGCTGTGCTTGGTCACACACCAGGGAGATCTCCCCTGCTTGCAGATCCTGCTGCCTCCTCTTCTCCACACGAACAGAGATGATGGTGTGGGAAATGCCTCCCTCTTATGTCAGATAAACCCTTTGCCTATGGAGCCTCCTGTGGACATCACTGGTCCAGAAATGGACCCAGCCTGCTCCTGTGTGCTGGGGCTGCTGCTGGAGCACCTGCTTCTTGTCCCTGACACTTGAGCCTGTTTCTTTGGCCGCTCACTGTGACAGACCCAGTGCTCCACAGGATAAGTGGCAGCAGAAGACAAGATTAGAGAGCAGCAGGATGCCACACTGGGATTCATGTCTTCCTACTGGCATGTGTGACCTTCCAGGCCCTATCTCATCTCTCCCTTCATCCTCACTGCATAGCAGGACAGTAGGTAGAGCTGAGCAGCATTCCTCTTTGACTAATTTCACAACAAGGATTTCAAGACGTGGGTTTGGTGCTAGAAAATGAGCATTTTTATATACCTTAGCTTTATAACACATTGTGACTATCATTATTTATCTTTAGATTGAAAACATTATTGGTTTTCTAGGAAGCTCTTTTCTTGTAGCTCAAAATACATATTTGCATATCAACTGCAAAACTTGTAACGTGCTTCTGGGGAGAGGAACTAGTTCCTCTGACGACTGCTATGTAACATCTATGGCACAGTTTTTCTAGTTACCATTTTGGTAAATTAGCTCAATCATATCAAAGTAATAGATGTCTTTTATGATTGGAGCTTTGTGTAGATTTCCACCCTTCCATTTCACAATTATCTGATTACTTTTTAAAAAATTGGTGCATTATACAAAGCATACTGAGTCCTCATCAAGAATCAAGTCATTAGGAAATTGTTTCATCTTGTATGGTTCACCTATGATTTACTTGAGGCAAAGGGAAATTATCATAGAGGAAAACAAAACATATTAGGGAAGATTTTAATTAATGGTAAAAATATTGGGGCTGGCCAAATACTGCTCCCACCATATTGATGTAATTGTAAGCCAAGGTGAAGAAGGAAAAAAATGTCTGCATAAACAGTTGAGAGGAGAGGAGAAAAAGAGGAGGAGGAGAAGAAGGACGTGGAGAGGAGGGAGAGGAGGAAAAGGAAGAACTGGTAGAGGAGGAGGAAGAGGAGGAGAATTGGTCTTCAGAAACAACCTCAGTCATATCCTGAAACCATAAACTTAACTAAGCATTTCTCATCCCTAAATAGCAAAGTAAGATGCTATTCCCCATTTTATGGAAGGAAAACTTGTCCTACAAGTAGAAAAACAGTTTGGGCATACTAAGTTTGGTCTGCAGCCTGGTGATTTCTCTTCTAGCATTTGTCCTTCCATAATATTAGTTTTATGTTAGATTTCTTTTTGCTGGATTTCCTTGATTTTTCACTTGCTTCACGAGATAAAAGTTGGAGGAAAGCAGTTTCTAAATCACTGCCTGGTTTTCAGGGACACACTGAAACGCTGCACTGAACTTCAGAGCTGCTGAAGTCCATTATGGATTTCAAAGTCTGGGAGTGGAAGCTCAGGACCCAATGTGAAGTCTGAGCCTTTAACAGGCAGGCCAGGCCGTTGCCACTCCCACTGCCACTGCCTTACCTGGTCTTGTAAGGACAAGGTGGAGAAGGCTGGGACACTTTTGGCCCACTTGATGCTCATGAACAGAAGTCTGGCTGCTGACTCGCAGACGGATTCAGTGGCCACTTCGTACAGATACATCGGGGTGCCGTTGACTTCGTGTGGGTACTAATGGCAAAGAGAAAATAAAGCCATCTCATACAGTGCCACCAAGGCAGCCTGGTCTTCCTCTCCCCTACATCCAGTGCTCTGGTCATGCCCAGTACAGTGTGCACTCTCCTGTTCTGCAAGCAGAGGGCATTGCTTGCAGTGGGCTCACTCCAAACTGCTCCTTGCTGCTTATCCATGTGGATGAGCTGTACTACAGAAACTGTTCAGAGCAGGAGCTTGAAAGGAGAATGAAATTATTGCATCAGAAGGGAAAAAGCATACCAAAATTATGTGTCATGCTTTACTCTGTTACACAATAGAACACCTCTGATAGCAGAATTAGAAGAGTAAAAATTTGATTAACAACATGTAGTTTGTAACCTTGCTTCAGAAGCTGATTTAGCATTCCAGCCCTGCTCAGCAAAGCAGTAAATATTCATTTAGCCTAAACCTTCATCTTGCTCCCTGACTGCAACAGTTTGTAAGTAGATGCATAGAGCCTAGCATAACTATCTAGAGGCTGTGTAGGGTTTGAATGGAGTTATGTTTTCAAGGGTGTGCTAAATTCTCTTGCCAAATAAATTCTGATTCAGCATTTTTTTAAAGTTACCACGTAAAACTATATGTTGTGACCACGTTTATGAAGGGTTCTGCCAAGCTATGTACCAGGTCTGAAAATGCAGAACTGTTTAGGCAGTTTCTTCTGTGATTTTCTAGATGCTGTGAAGACACAAAATGCCATTGCAAATGGGCTAATGAAAAACATCACCTTTCAGCGAATTCCTGTGCAGTCGAGGCCACAGCAGTGCTTCCACTGGGCTGCTCAGGAAATGTCACAACCAAGAAGTGCAGAGAGCCAGCTTAGCCAAGTTTGAGTTTTGTGTCCTGGGGACAAGCTGCAGGCTTTGGTCAGTACACAAAGTACTTTCTGAACTACACCACCATGGAGACTGGCATTTCTCTGAAGAAAACTCATTCACAGGGATTGCATTCCTTGTGAAACAAGGTCTAAAACTGACTTGTGGATGGGCTCCAGGCAGGAGGAGCATTTCTGCACCCATGAAGGTATAAGAATGCGTGAGACAGGGCTTGTATGGAGGGGGTTATCTGCTGCTCCTGCTGCATACCGCTTCTCCAGAGGGATTGCACCTCATCTCCTCACAGCCTTTAGGGATGTACAAAAGTCCCCACCACAACCCACAAAGCCTCAGGCCTTGCTGTTTTTTCCATGTCTACCCCAGAGGTAGGAAGGATCTGACAGGTTGCAGGCACCTCAGCAGCAAGGTTTGCAGCCCGCGGGGGGCCGGGACAGGGGCTGACCTTCGGGGTGGGCTGTGCCAGGCCCACCAGAGCCTGTCTCTCCGGGGTGCCGGTGACAG